GTAAAAACAAATTCGTTTATATTAACTCTCAGGATTACGTATGTATGTATATATACGTGTCTGATTTCGATTCAACGATATATCACGTTCAACACTCGAGATATAATACGTACACTCGAATTCTCGAGGTGTTTCGAATGCTGGATCAAATTCTAACCGGAGATATTTCCAGTTGATCTCTAAACCGAAGTCGCTGAGGTTAGATTAGTACAGTATTGCTAATACGCTGTATCAAACCATTTCTGAAATTGCCCACAATTCATTTCGGGCACGTAATAGATTGATAGATAGGTATATATATAGATATATACAGGGTGACTCTTAGGACAGGACCAGGCTACTTGTTCTTGTACAAAAATATTTTTAAAAAGTGTTAACTAACTAACTAATTTTGATATTCTCATTTGTTTTATGTGGATGCACCGATACAACTGTTAAATAAAATTCCGCATTATTCTTCAATGCAATCCCCCATTATTTTTTAAATTCATTCATTGATTTTTTTATTCTACTTAAAACAAATATTAACTCGATGTCATTTAAATATGAACCATTTGTTTTGACAGTAGTACAAGTCAATTTTTACGAAACCGGAGATTATGCATAAATTGCATGTGTGAAACGTGTCGTTAATTTAGAAATAACATTAATTTAAACTCACTGCTGTAAATAAAGAAATACATAGACAACATAATAAATAAATAGATACAATAAATATATAGATGAAAAAATAGATAAATAGGTAGATGTATAAAAACAATTGGACAGATCTCCAACATCTTTAGATACATTTTCTATACTGGTATTTTAAATCCCATCTTTTTGTGTGGGTCTAGAAAAGGAAATACAAGGCTAATAGACACACCACCGGATATTAATATTCCAAAGGGGTCATCGTGTTCTCTTTAAAAAGTTTCGGGACCACCGTGGCGTTCCTTCGTGTATTATTGCGACGGTCTTTTAAAAGACTCGCGCCCTCTAGGGACCACCTCGACGCGGTCCAGAATATCTTACGTGTTTAGTACGTAACCAAGCGGGTCTCGTGACTCGGAATAAACATGGAATTTCATTGTATTACGACGTACTCTCCTCGGTTACCTACCTGGTTTAGAATACAAGATTCCTAGAGTCTTTTCTAAAGAAAACTAAACGACCTAAAACATTTCATTTTATTTCAACAGTATTTTTCTACTTTTCTTGGCAAATTTATTGTAAAATAAATTGTTGATGTATACGAATATTTTGTTGAATATTAATAATATACAAACAAAATTTTATTCTAAATATTAATCATTTATTTGAAATAATCAAATCATTTAAAATTATGTGTTAATTATCAGAATACATCTACCAATAACTGTACACGTGATGGTATAAAATTCGATGATGTTATAAAAAATATTTATTTTTTTTAACTTTCTGTTTGAGTTAACAATTTATTTGTTTCTATGATAAATGTTAGAACAGCAATAAAAAAGAAACTGTATTAATGTTAAATTGTTTTTCTTTATTTTATCTGTCATTGACTCAGAAATTTCACTTTGCTAGGAAATGAGGTTCAGGTATTTAGTAAATATAGTACGCGCGGCACAGAATGTGTTAATCGGTGTAATACTGACCACTTATATTACATGCCGACAGGGCCGGATTTAGAATAATGCAAAAGAGGTACCTCGTCTTAGGGGACCAATAGCTTTTATGCATCTACACATACAAAAGTGTGTAGTATTAAAGAGAACTAGAAGGTTAAAAGGTTGGCGATACGAATAATGATACTCAAGGGCCGTATCTGAAAAAGAAATAGTTTTAAGTATTTTGTATTTATGGTTTATCTCTTTTTGTTTTTTTTTTTTGGATAAGCACTAAAAATCGAACGAGTTTTTAGGTTCTGCTTAGGTTCAAACTGTTCCTTCTTACCGATATTTTTTTTATTAATACTAAGTATTTATTTTAAATATTGACCAACAACAAGTAAAATAAAAATAAATATTTTGGGTTTAATATTCACAGTTACTATAAATAATAAACAATTATTTTAATATAATATATATATTATATTAATATTAATTTAATTAATTTTCAAAATAATTGATTAACAAATTTAGAAATTATTGAACTTTATATATACATATATTATATAAAAAATATTAATTTAATAAATATAAAATAAACACAAATAACAACATAATATATATAACATAATATAAACATAAATAATAACATAAGAACAATAAAAAATAACATTAAAATAAAAAATTAAAAAATTCATTGATAAACATTTAAAGTTATTATGAATATTGAATAGTCATTGTGTTTAAAAATATTGATTCAATAAATATTAATCAATTACAAAGAATAAAAAAAAACCCAATCCTTTTATTAACATTTAAAGTTGCACATACGCAACCAATATGTGGGCATACTCTCGTGTATCTATCTACATCGTAGTAACGATGTAACGTCGCCTACTACGGGACTCGTGTCCTCCTTTATCCTACTATCTATTCATAGACGAGAAAGCGAGCTGTCACAGTGACAGACGCCGAAAGACAATGGATAAAAGAGAAGTGAAACCACTGCGGTAACTTCTTGTATGTAGTTGGACATATTCTTTTTCTTTTCTTTTTTTTTTTCAAAAACAGTGTCTCACTTTTATTCGATATGCTCGATTCGCAACCTCAATATCGTTCTTTGCGCAGATTTCTTCTGCTATCTTACAAGATGAACGACACGATAAAGGTGGAGTTAGAACAGGGAAGATAAATAACAGAAAAGAAAAAATATATGAAAAATTAACAAACAAGAAACAAACTCTGAAGAATTTTTAATTTTTTTTTAGGTTTGTTACTAAAACAAAGACTGAAAGGAACAGATATTTATTGAGTGTCTAAAACTTAGGCCTTTAAAAAAACATTGCTAATTATTTTGTAAAATAAATAACACTTAGATGAATATTTTGTTCAACATAACAAATTTTCATCTATATTGAATAAACGTTCAGTACTTCTACTCAGCAAGAAAATCAAGGTTGTATTTTGGTTACCTGAACGCTACATATCGATATTCTATTATTTAAGATACCAACTTATTTATTTTTATTGATCACTATAATACTAATTCAACCTATACTAATACAACCTATATTAATACAACCTATATTAATACAACCTATATTAATACAACCTGTACTAATACAACCTATTTTGATTCTTTATTATACTTATTATTACATTGAAAAAAAATAATAAAAAAATTAAGAAAAATAAAAATAACAAAATTGTTTTAAAAATAACAAAAATATTTGCTAAATACTGACCTAGTGAACTGATTTTGTAAAAAGAAAGGGATAAACCAGGAAAGACTGGATAAACTCGTGATAGTCGGGTCCTCAATATATGTTTTAAGAGGGCTCGAAGAAGAAGTAGTTAGTCGCGAACGTAGGCGAGGTCGTTGACCTTGTAGCCTCTGCGGTTCCTCTATCCTCCTGTCCTCCTATTCCTCGATACCCGTCCCTCTTGTGGATCCACGTTCGTCCTCGTCGTCTTCCTCGTAGTCTCCTAGAGCTTCTCTTGCATCCATAGCGCACGTTATTATATTCATCCATCCACCTATCATACGTATGTGTGTATATCTATATACGCGTGTGTGCATGTTGTGTGTGAACGCGAGATTGTCCTTCCGTCCGATGATATCTATAGGGTGTCCTAAAGAAAATCATACTCTCTTCTTTACCAAAACTTAAATCTCGTCGTTACCGTTAGCCAACCAACTGAAAGTCCGAGAAGAAATTTAGTTCTCACCTACGTTAATCCTACGAGTCAAGAGGCTAACAAGCAAGGTTAGATGCTAAGTTTCATCTTGACGTCTCGGTTTAAAAGTCTAGGAATGTCCAACTTTTACGCTTCCTTGAACCATATTTGAAGACAACAAATATGAACAAATACTAAAATATTGCAACTATAGATAGTGTTATGTTTGTTTCGTTATTCTTTTGTTAATGTTAGAATTTTTTAGTTATTTAATTTAAAGTTCATTTTTTGTATAAAAACAATAGAGTTTTATTTCACACTAGAAAACCGAAATTACTTTCTTGTCAACCCAATAATTAAAGAAAAAACTATAATGTTATATTAAGTATTGTCATTAATTCCTTTGATATTAAATTAATTCTAACTCTAATTTGAATTTTAATCAAAACAATGTATAATATATGAATTCCGGAAGTCACTTACAATTTGACTTTGAGCCGGATATATTCATTATTGCAAAGTCATTTCACGCGCGGCCCGCGGGCGTGTTTGACAGATCCTATCAATCTTATGTACTCGTTAATTTTTTGTTGTCTTATTTTGAACGATGATTGTCGTTGATTGGTCTAAAAGGGAAAGATAGATTTTCTTAGATTTCAAATTCGTATCGTTTCAATCGAATCTAAGATGGCGTAAGATTTGAATTATTCATAATACATTTCTATTCCCCCTTATCCCCTATTTAATCGTTATGTGGAAATGCAACCCTAGGACGACGGTTCTGCTCTTTTGCACGAAGATATTATTCAAGGCCGTACGTAGTACCGACCAATACCGAGGAATACCGAAGAGTGCCGACGGGAATGCAAGACGACGATACGTGTAAATGTCAAGGAAGTGCAGAAGATGCCTTGTCGTTCTTGCTCCGCCTTCTCGTTCCTCTTCCAACACCCTACCTCTCAACCCCTTACCTTCTTTTCCCCCTATACCCCTTTTTAATCGTTCCTTCCTTCACTGGATTCATGATCCACGATCTACGTTTCATTAGTCGAGCTTTCACGCCGGCTTCTAACCAAAGCACGTATGAATCACTATACTTCTGAACTGATGTTCCAATTAGAATTGTAGTAAATGGTTACGAGTTCTCTTCCTGATGCATATGAATTTGTTATCGTTGCATCTTTCCTATCGAATATATGTTTGATTGGATTTTTAATTTTTGTTTAATTGGACTCTGTTTATTTTTTATAGAAACCAAGATCAAAAGCTGTCAGGATGGAGCTAAGGTGGTACGTTTACTGCATTATGATACTGCAGAGTTTTATAATGGTTACACGCGCCATTGATGACTTTCGGCATATTTCTTATGAAGGTAAGATTATATTTTGTTTATTTATATGATTACTATTAATACGTGATAGACCATAAGAATAATGAGTCATCTTTTGTAACAAGTAGTTGGACACTATAGATTTATTGAATAGTTTTAGTTAAGAAATACATTTATATAAGTAAATACTATTATATATGAAATTATGCAATAAAACTAAAAATAAAAATGAAATCATTATAGAAAAGATCTATTGTCAGAGTGAAATGAATCTACGTCATGGCATAGATAAAAAATATACATTTGTTGATAATTGTACACCGATATCTTATCGTATGAATATATACTTGACCTTTAAATATTTTATTAAAGTATTCTATTTCATTATATTAAAAAATAATTATTATTATCAATTCAGTGGTGATTCATATTTGAGCAAGGTTCCATTACAAAACTAATACCAATAAATGCACAATAAAATATTTTTAATTAAAATCATACATTTTTTGAAATTGTTAATTTATTTATTCGTGAAATAGATTTTAAAGTAATGTAAAAAAAAAAAAAAAAAAATGAAAAAAAAGTATAGTCCGGTAATTTTACTTTTATTTTTTTGAAACGTGGTATTACAAGATTACCGACGAAACTATTACGTTGAAAGGAAATGAGATTCTGGTATTAGCCGAAATTGGTACACCCAGAACGGAATCGTGTTAGCAAATTAACCTNAAAAATAATTATTATTATCAATTCAGTGGTGATTCATATTTGAGCAAGGTTCCATTACAAAACTAATACCAATAAATGCACAATAAAATATTTTTTATTATTTTCTTTGAATTCAAACAATTGTTAATATATATATTCGTGAAATAGTTTTTAAAGTAATGAAAAAAAAAAAAAAAATTATATAACAAACAAATAACTTTACTGTGCTTTCAACAATTGGTATCCTGTACTAAATCTATTACCGACGAAACTATTACGTTGAAAGGAAATGAGATTCTGGTATTAGCCGAAATTGGTACACCCAGAACGGAATCGTGTTAGCAAATTAACCTTTACCTACATCCTTCTAACGATCAATATTCTTAAGTTTCTAACAATGGTGTTTATTTTTTGTTGTAAATGTTTGAAACACGCAATAAATGCCACACCCATTGAACATTGAAGTACTTACTCTAGGAGTATATAGCAAAAACAAGTTTTGTATCTTCTGCTCGTGATAGTCTAATGAACTTAATAGTCGTTTCTCGATCGTCCTCGAGTCTAACGATCAATCTCTTTCTCTCTTTCTCTCTTATCGTAATAGCACTGCCACGCAGAGGTGCGGACTGCAACGCGTTGCACGCCGAAGGCGGCGACCAATCGACCAAGAGATAGCCAGCATCCCGTAATTTTCATTTGCATGTAAAGTACTTCCTGTGGCTAGACCGCGAAACTCCTCCTCCTCTTTCTCTTTCTGTTTCTCTTTTAACCGCTTTTGCAAAAATAAAAATGATTTCTTCCTTGAATATCATTTCGAACGACGCGCATCTCTTTTTCTCAAGTGAAAAAATGTGTCTTTTGTAAAATTCTTTGATGTACAGGGTGGTACTTGTAACTGGGACAGACCAATGATCTTTATTAACCCTTTTGAATACTATTGACGCATATATGCGTTCAACGAAAGTAATTTGCATGGACTAAACATGCATATGTCCGCTTATCAATTTTGTCCCCTTCCTTGGGTTGAGATTTGTTTCTTTTTGTCTTTTATTTTATCAAAATAGTTCACATTAGTAGAAAAATCATTCCATCTCCGGTAATTGCAATCATTAAACGTGCTCGGAACTCGAAGGTTTAAATAAAAATAAAGAAAATAGGAAAACAAATATAATAGAAGGAATAATATTTCATAATGGGTTCTAACTTTTTTTTTTAATTTTTTTTATGTGCATCTACCAGGTGTAACTATTTTTTATTCTTTAAAGCAATTCTACTTTTTTTTGTAGCCTGTGTACAAAAGTATTGACCCTATGTCATCGATATATAATATTAATACTTCATGACGTATTTATCATTTTTTATCATTTTGTATGATTAAATTAATATTGCCATAGTTATGTGATGTTATCGGAAAAATGCAAAGAAACTTCTTCCCTATAGGTAAAATAATAGGTAAAAATAATTTCTTTTTATACTAGATTTTAAAATAACATTATCCTAGAAAGATAACATCTCACTTTTTTTTCTCTTCTATTTCCTCTAACACAATTTTAAAAATCATTTTACTCGAATCCGTTCACTTCGTCAAAATGCATTCGACGAATTATTTTCATCAAAGTGAAGTGCATAGCTTCGTTTTATCAAGTGCGTTAGAGTTTGAAAAAGTTTCAAAATTTTTGTTCTTATATTTTTGCAAAATTTAAATTATAATTGTTATGTAGTAAATGTTTGTTGTATGTATGTGTTACTAAATTTATTGTAGGTAATAATTTTGAAAGCTACATTAATTTTAATGTTATTATTGTAGATATATATTGTATGTATTTTAACCTAATAAATAGGTATATGACTTTTTAATTACACAAAGTGTATACAATGTTAAATAATAAAATTTCTTTTGTTTTTTTATATAACTATTTATATGTAGACATGGAAAATGAATTTCTTCAATACTTTGAATTGCTTTCAATCTATTCCATTCATTTTATTGACAAATTCGAATGACTTTGAATCTGATTCAAAGCATGTAAATTCTCGAGTATTTTGTCATATTCCTTGTTTCGATTATATACTTGTGACAAGAAACTTGAAATCACTTCAAACCTGATTTCAAACTTTATAACTTTTGAATGTCTTCATCGTCAACTAATAGTTTGAAAGTTTCCAGAGTTTCGATAGGTTTTTGAAAATTGATGAGTATCTAATTACTTAAGAGCTTTTTGATTACTTCAAGTAAATCATCAGATAAAATATTTAAAAATATTTGGACAGTTCTAAGTATTATCATAAATAAATATATTTATGCTATTCACTTTTATAATTTGAATTTAAAGAGTCAAATACGTAAACATCGAGACCATTTAAATAATTTTCAGATCTTCTCTTTTTTAATATAAAATGTTAAATAACTCTGTAACATTTATTATACAATTTTAAACAATTTAAAATAAATTTAATTTATATATTTTCTAGAAAAATGAAATTTGTAAAATTAAAATTTTTAAACGTACTTATATTAATTTGAAATTAAAAGTTCAATTATTATTAAATAATTAATATACGAATAAACAGTTTAATTATTTAAAAAAAAACCATCAAAAAACATGGAAAATAATAGTAAAAAAACAATAATAAATATTCATAATTTTGTTCTATTTCACTGGTAAAATAAAAATATAAATTTCATAAAATTCCAAATATTGTTTATAATATATATACTACAAAAATAACTTATTTCTAAATTAAACTATTATTCGAGATATCATGTCGACTACGCTAAAGGAAAATGATTTTTAAAAAAAAGTTAAATTTAAATTTTAAGTTTACAATATAGGTTTCACGATGATAAGATGCACAATTATAAATCATCACTATTCTAACAATTATATAAATTTTTATGAAAATTCCCGCATGTGTATATTTTTTCAAAAGATTGTAGTATAATAAAATCTGTAAATAAAAACGGTTTTTTGACCCGAAAAACCAGAACACCTATTTTAACGAGTTAGAAATATCAGCACATTTTATGCACTAAAAAAGTTAATGCTGAATCGTTTGCTAATTTAAAAGCGCCGTAACTGTCGCCTCGTATAAAGTTGAGAGCCGTTTTGCGTGTCGGCACACGAACGATTGCGAAAAGTTCTACAGTTGCATAATATATTTAAAAGCGGCTGATTTAAATTGGATGCTGAATTTTTTACACCACGGTACTTGGAACCTCTCATAATTGTCAAATATTTCTTTCTTTATGCATATATATATATATATATATATATATATATATATATATATGAATAATTTTTTTTGTTCTTATTGTTTTAAATTCAATTCTTTAATCCACTTATAGAACTGACAAATTCTGACGAAATGAAAATATAATTCAAGCAAAAGTCACTTATTTGACTTTTTACGTTGAATATTATTCATCATTGAAACTATAACCTCTAAAATTCAAAATTAATTTTGTCAGAATTTATTGCATACATTTATATGCAATTGAAATTTTTGTTAGGTAGAGTAGTTTTATTGATAGTATATATTTATAATATTTAAAATAGTAAATTAATTAGTAATATTAATATAATATTAAATAGTAAATTAATTAGTAATATTAGTATAATATTTAAAATAGTAAATTAAAAGTAATTTTAATCGAAATGTAACCTAACCTCATGTTCTATCATTGATATTCATTTTCTATGATATTCATTATCTATATTGAATTCATGTTCTATCATTCCTCATGTTCATCTATGACTCATTGGGAAAACTTTAAATTTGTTTAACAATTTAATTAATTGAATACCTAATTTATATAAGGAATCTTATAGGAATTTTTTCTTTTATCCAACATAATTGTTTTCATATATTAACATTTGTAATTTTACAGAAACGTTATTAAACGTTTTTCCATTCATTTTATCAGTTCATCAATTGTATTGGGAAAAGGACTGTATAAAATTGAACAATCCTAGGCTCGTTTTAAAACGTTTAAATGATTTTATTTGTTAGAATAGACTCAATAAACTTTTTACTTAATAAATTGAAAACAAATGTCTTTCAAGTAACATTTGTTATACGAAAACTGTCAGTAACACACTAAGGTTACTTGACTATTAAATTATATAATAAATTCTTCAATCTTTTAATATCTTTTAAAATGTAAACCATGTTTCTAAATAAAAGAAATAAATTTCTATTGTAAAGAAACAGTTGACCTTAAAATGCAATTGTAAATCAAGTCAAATAAATCTAACGAAGGACAGTATAGTTAAATAAAAAGGGTATGGTCATCGTATTTATCTTATACGTTCACAACTACCTTCCATTTACGC